TATCTTGAAGCAACCTTATTTTCTTTGCGATCCAAAGTTCACAGTACTACAAAGTACTCCCCCTTTTTTATGTATGGAAGAGAAGCAGTATTTCCATCAGAGGTACCTGCTGAAATGCCGGTGAGTGTGTTATGATGTATGATTTCATTTTATCTGTATGGTAAAGTTTGTAATACTTGAGCCTGCAGATATCTGACCCCTCCCTGAACTGTTTGTAAGCTGTCGCATTTTCGCCTATAAAAGATGTAAGCACTGAGAGAAATCAGACTCTTAAATTAATCGACTTTGTCCAAATTTCTACCACAAAGAACACATGTAATACTCGGCTTCAGGTGTATTGTCTGGCCTCATAGGTATGGCTGAGTTCTTACTGTTATGAACAGGTGCTGTGTGTAAACTATAAAATATTAAATATAATGTCTGATTAGTACATCTTCCTTTCTGTGCCACTAATTACACTGTGCTGAATTGTTTTTAATAATAGCTTTTAGAAATTGTTCCTGCAGAAGAAAAGTACAGTACAGTAGTGGAGCAAAAAAAAGAAATGGAAACAGTTAAAAAAGAAGTTGAGGAAAATATTAGAAAGTCTCAAGAGAAACAGAAGGAGGCATATTCCAGGAGAGTAATGAAGAAGTACAAAAACTTAAAGTACAGTGTTGGAGATGAGGTACTTTTGTGCAATATGAGGAAGCGAGGAAGGAAGGGAGGCAGGATTGAAGCGGACTTCTCTGGCCCTTACTTTATTCAGACTATCAGCGGTAAACTTGTTACTCTAAGTACACCTGAAGGAGCTATGCTAAAAAACAAGTACAACATGGACCACATAAAACCTTATAGAAGAAGCCCAACTGCAGACGTACCAGGCCAGAAAGTCCCAATACCTAGTCAAGTTGAGAACATGATGACATCTGATGTGTCTCCTGAAATCCACCCTCCAGATTTACCTCCACAATCTGAACGGCCTTCTGTTATTCAGTTTTGTGTGAAAATGCCAACAGAACACATTAATACAGATAAACAGGTAAAAAAGAGGGTAGCTGAAAGGCAGGAAATGGACATGATGCCATCAAAGACTAAACGCACCATTCAGCAAGAAGGTCTGATTTCTGCAGTGAACTTGGTTCTTGAGTTTTGACCCGTTGGTCAAACATCTTCCACTGGTTTGTCCTTTATGTGGTGGAGATTTTGGCTGTTCTGCTTGAGGTTAGCCTGTTGGCTATTTTGATTTGCTTCTAACAAGACAATGAGGTGGCTAGGCAAGTGTAAAGTCATTATTACACTTTTATTAATACCCCCCATGTACCAACTACATGTTTTACATTTTGTTAATGTATCCGCCTCCTTGTCTGTGCTAGTTCAACATCTTGTTCTAGATGTTTTTTTAGGGGGATGGTCTTGCTCCTTTTTGTTCCTTTGTCCCATTTATTAACTTTTCATAAAGTTGATAAATGTTTTTCACAACACATTTCTTTATGTCTTTGTTTTTAGTAAAGGAACTCTGGGCAGCAAAAGACAATGGACAAGTGGAAGCAGTGGTTGGACCATATAATTTGTACAACTCCTCTTTCCGTACTCTGCAAGGGGCAGAATGGCTTTCTGATGAAGTAATACATGATTACTTTCGTTGAATAGCAAAATGTTTATTGCTTTATTAGTTTTGTTTTTTGATTTGTTTTCTCTTTTTTTCCAGGTTATTGATGCTCATATTCACCTCTTGCTCAAAAAACAAAAGGTTTGTGTTACTTTTGAATGGAAATTACTTTGCATGGTATATGGATGAACTTCGACACTAAATATGTTGATTGTTTTTAACAGAAGGCCATATTCCATCTCAGTGCCGTTGTTTCAAGCTCCTTGTTTAATGGACAGTTTAGAAGTCTCCATAAGGTAATTTACCTATTAAGAAAGTCATTCCTTTTGACTTATATATATATATATATATATATATATATATATATTATTTATCTGTTATATTTAACTGTTACAGATGAAGTTACCAGCTGAGGATGTTTGGCTGTGTCCTGTAAATGTTACTGCACACTGGATTCTTGTGGTATGTTTCTGAAAGATTTGTTTATCTTTCTTTTCTGATGGTTCTTCAATACTTTGACAGATTTTCTGCCTTTTGTTATGTTGACAGATTTGAAATTAAGTCCTTGAATTGCTTAGATAGGTTAAGCAATCTGTGCATGTGTTTACAGAATAATCATTCAGCATTGTAAGGGAAGTCCTTTATAAATTGTTTTATTGAGCCTGTTATTCATATGATATTCTAAATGATTTAAATTTAGATTGTGAACATGGCAGAGAAGATGGTCATTGTAATTGACCCAATGGGAAATGAGGATGCCTACAAAAGGAAGATTCTGAGGAACAAGCGGTAACTAATATTACTAGGGATGTAAAGGTATTGTTAATACCGTCGTACCGCAATAGCAAATTTTTTCGATACTACCGTGGTCGCATGACTCGATAAAA